TTCACTGTTCCCTTCTTGCTGCTTGCCTTACTTTGTGTTTCCCAGCTCTTTGCCCCCGCCACTTGATGCTGATTGAGCAGAAGAGTCCCTTGAGTAACCAGAAGTGTTGGTGCCCCTTCTCTTTCTCTTGGCTTTTCCACCCACTTGCCTCAAGCTCTGTTACATAATACTCACAAGTGAGGTCCACATGACCACGAGCCTTGTCTTGCACCTCATTTTCTCTATCCCTGAGCTCTATGATGGGTTACCTTTCCAAGTTAGAGGAAGGGTAACAGAGGACTGAAGTTAGTTGCCATTTACCTTTTTTGCCTCTGTAATGGCTTGGACATAAGGTTCATTCCCAGATACGGATTCATTACAGAGATGTATGTGCTTGTGTATGTACTTTTGGGGCCCAGAGATTGTCGGGCCTGTCTGGGCCAAATGTAATCTTAAGGAGAAAAAAGATTACATTTTAAGTGTATAAAAATAGCTGAATTTAGTGGGTGGCAGGGTTGTAGGCAATGACTGCTGTTCTGTTCCATTGTGTGAGAAGAAAGGTATGAAGAGAAAAGGTCAAGGCCTTTATGAATGAGAGTGAGCAGAACCAGAGCTGCGGCATCAGGGAGCTCTGCACTTGAAACAAGGGAAATGAGAGACAATGAGCATTGCTCCTGACTCGATTGCTTAGACTGGTGGATTTTTTGCTACAGAAAATGACACGAAATACTGAGAAGTTTCCTAATTTCTCTCTAGTTACTATTCTTTAGTATTATTTAATATATTGAATGTTTATTTGTGGTTTTGATCTATAAACTTCTCAAATCTTTATTCCGTATTCTGAAAATAGAATGGCAGGGCTAAATTATGTCCTATTCCCTCCTCGTTCAGTTATTCATTTATTCATTCATTCATTTATAGAACATTAGTTGATATATGCCAGGCCCTATGCTCTATTCATTCTGGTCAATGTCATACCAGTAATTAATGCAGTAGTTTGAAAGTCAGTCTTCATGTTCACACATCACTGAAGTGTAATCCTCAAGTCTCAAACAGCAGTGTGCTGTAATAACGTGAGGAAATGGCCAATGTTTGGGGGAGGGGAGCATTATTCTAATTTAAAACAAAACCAAAGAACAACAAAAAAATGAGAATCTTTCCTAAACATCACACACTGCCTCTGGTTGACTCATTTCTTTTATGTTTGATCTGCCTTTTCTCAGATTCCTGTGTTCCACAGCGGATCTGTGTGTCTGCATTTAGAAATGTTTGAGTCTTTTTGTACTTCTGATTTTGGTGCTAGAATGGGTGATAGTTGGTTTGCTGAGCTTTTGTCTAGCAAGTGAGCACTATAGCTTTGAAACAAAATTGTTAGAGGAAAACTATTATCTCCCTCACTCTTAATTTTAGTTTGTATTTGCAAAGTTGGTACAAAAATCTTCGTGGTTATGGGGGAAGGGGATTGTCCTTAGATAATGAACTATAGTTATTCTTCGAAGTAGTTTGCTTTACTGTCTCCTGGAGATAGACTCTAAATCAGCGTTCTCAACAGCAGCACTAGCGACATTTTGGGCTGGACAGTTCTTTGTTGTAGGGGGCTGCCCTGTGCATCGTAGGGTTTAGCAACATCCCTGGCCTCTACCCTACCCAATAAATGCAGGTAGCTCACCCTCCTTTCCCCCAGTTGTGACCACCCCAAAATGTCTCCAGACGTTGCCAAATGTCCCCTAGGAGGAAAAACCATTCCTGGTTGAAAACCACTACGCTAAATTCTTAAAGTAGACTTACCAGTTTGTTAGCTAACCACAAACAAGCTGCCATACTTGATGTTGTGTTTCTGTGGATCCTTAAGAACTTTTATTTTATTCTGATTGTTAGAATCTGGTTTCCTATACCTGAGCAGTTTGTTGCCATCCAGCCCAGATGGGCTGTGTGGGGATGAACAGAGGTGGCGTGTGTACTGTGTTCCTGGAATCCACGGTAGTTGTTCTCTTCTTGACTCTTCATATTCAACTAATGAACTTTAACAAATGTACTCGAAATCCTAGTTGTGAAATCTAGGCCAAAACACATTTATCTGATAATAGAAAGACCTCCAGGGCCAGCCCGCTGGCGCTCTGCTACAGTGCGCCGCCTGGGAGTGCGGCAGTGCTCCCGCCGAGGGTTTGGATCCCACATACAGACCGGTTCCCGCTCACTGGCTGAGCGAGGTGTGGGCACGACACCGAGGGTTGCGATCCCGTTGCCAGTCCCGGTCTGGTACGGGCGCGACAGTGAGGGTTGCAATCCGTTGCCGGACACGAAAAAAGCCAAAAAAAAAAAATAGACCTCCAGCTTATGACTCCACCTAAGTCTTCTACAGAACAAAGTAGTGATCCGTTGCCGGACACGAAAAAAGCCAAAAAAAAAAAAAAAAATAGACCTCCAGCTTATGACTCCACCTAAGTCTTCTACAGAACAAAGTAGTTTCTCTTGATTTGATTCGATTTGTAAATTAGACATAATTTTGGATATGTTTTAGGTGTCAAATTATGTTCTAGGTGTCAAATTATCATTTTAGTTTTTTAGATTCAGAATTAGGTTTTTTATAGGATTGCTAAGTTTAGCAGATATGTAACTTCAATTTTTGCGGACAATGTGGTGCTGTTTGGATTTAGGAGAGAGGGTGCTTATGTTCACATGTTTAGTTAGAGGAAGAATTGGAATTTGAACCCAAGCTTTCCTGATTGACTCCAGAGCCATGTTCTTTCCCTCTACCAGTGCTTCTCAAAATTTAATGTGCATAGGAATCACCTGAGGATCTTGTTCAAATGAAGATTCTGACTCAGTCAGCTCTTGGTGGGCCTGAAGTTCTTCATTTCTAGCAGTCCCAGGTGATGTCCATGCTGCTGGGCTTTGGATCACACGGTGCTGTGTTCCTAGATTATTAATTTTGCCATAGATAACTCACCTGGAGATTAACTCACAAAATCGGTCATCTATAAGTGAATATTCAAGAGTTGAATTTGTCAGTTTTTTTCCTTCATTTGAAGCTGTGTATTCACTGGTAGGTTTTAAGCTGTGCAGATTCACTGCTAAGAGTTGAGGAGCTGTGTCAGCTGAACTGGCAGACTTACGGCTCTGTACTGAGCGAGTGGCAGTCCTGTGAGCAGAGTAAAATGAATGACCTGGGCAGTTTGTTGGGGAGTCCGAGGGACCAGCTGCTGTACAGTACACCCTGGTTCCTGAGGCAGACTGTATTTTGTATTTTAATGTCTCTGGAATTGGGATGCCATTACAATAGATGGCATTTTATGTTGCTGAGCTTGCCGTTTGGCTCCTACCTCTTCTGGCCACCCTCCTACTCCATGGGGAACAGAGTCCAGTAGCCGCTAAGGTGAGTATTTGGCATCCCTGTCCTTGCCACTCTTTTTCCTGACACAGGTCACAGTTCCTTTGTCTTCTCGCTGCTGAATCTGAGTTAGGAGTCCCTACACTACAAACTGATCCAACATACTGCAGGGAAGATGGAATTCTATGTCCGTTGTTTGGCTCTGACATCTGTTGTCTATAGTAGCATATCTGTCACAGATCACTCTTTGTCTTGGGTTGGGCCAGAGCTCCTCTGGGGCTGAGGTGAAGTCTAAAAAAAGGCTCTTTAATAAAGTCAACATTCTGAGTGATCAGCTATTTCACATGCTTCCTTCATTGGCAGTTTTTTTTTTTTACCTTTATGGAACACAAATTATTAATGCATTTTCCATGGTGGTTTTGGTCTGAAGAAATTTATAAAGTTAACATAAGTTTAGCAGAACAAGGACTGGATTTGGAGTCAGCAGGCATGAGTTCTACACAGTTCTGGCTCTCTCAGCTTGCCAGTTGTGTGATGCAGTTTTTCTCTCCAGGGTGAGAATGATTTTGGCAGAAGAGTGGAGGAAGAGAGGTATTTTAAGCTGAAGGGACAGTGGATGACGTCATGGGAGTGTCTTTGAAACCATTCATGCACTTTAAGGGCTTAGACACAGTGAATTCATCATGCCAGGGAGAGGGATTGTCCTCCGGACAAGTGAGATGGTCTGTTGAAAGTAGTATGACCCTTCCTGGATTTCTAAAAAGATTATTCCTCATGAGATTCTCTTTGTTTTTGGTTTTTGAGAATACAATAATGGTTCTTCGTTAGGTAGATAAAGATACTAGAAAATTAAAAGGAGCTGTCGAAGTACTGACTGTGGGCATTTATTTGAGTTTTATGAGGCAAGGTGAGTAACAGAACTGCCACCTACATTATAGGTGAACTATACTTACCTGAGATATGGTTAAATGAAAAAAATTGTTACAATGTAGTTCTCCTGTTTGAGGCATTGATTTTTGTTTTATGAGGAGAATACTGCTTTGGATATATGGATCACTTTGGATAGATGTCTTGATCTGGTATTTGCTAAAGACTCAGAAGCAGTTAGTCTTACTGAATAGTTATACCTTGAAAAGGAAGGAAAGCTTTTCTTCATGTAGGTAGGAATTATAAAGGTGAAGTAATTAACCTCAGCAGGATAGTCTATGCTTTGTTGTTGTTGGGTTTTTTTTGGTTTATATTTCCAAAAAGGCCTTAAAACTGGTGGTCAGAAGTGACATAGATGCAAGGGATATCTGAGCTTGGTTTAAAATTGATGAGCAAGCTGGGATTTCAGAGCTAGGGGTGGGAATCTCAGTTCTACTCCGCCACCTTGTGTTCTTTGGGAAAGTCATTCTTAATTTCCCTAGACTGTGTTTATTCCATATGTAAAGTATTCCTCAGCTTTAGCTTGTTTCACAAGAAAATTAGTTAATGAATGAATAAAGCTTAAAACGTGAAATCAACATTTGTTGAAATAATAAAGCAGTTTTTTACTTCTGAATGGCATATGCTAGATTTTGCAGGTGGTAGGTAATCAGGCAAAATTATTCAGTAAATTTAGCCATAGTCTCCTTTGACCTAAAGACAGTTTTGATCTTGCATTCTGTAATGCAGCATTGAGTTTTAGTGTCTTCTTTCCTCATTGCAGGTGGTCCGTACTGAGAAGAACAGTCTGAACAATCGATTCCTGCCCTGGAATGAAATTGAGACTGAGGCCATCCTGTCTATTGATGACGATGCTCACCTCCGCCACGATGAAATCATGTTTGGGTTTCGGTGAGAGACTGCTTTTCAGTCAGGAAACACTTTAGTTTGCAAGTGACAGAAAACCAACTCAGGCCTGGATCAGGAAGCAAAATGAATTTCATGGCTGATAGTAACTGAGAAGCCATCAGAGGCAGTAAGGGCTGATGTAGGCTGCAGTTGGATCCAGGGTCTTCGTGTCGGGGGCACCATTTCATTATCTCTAGGTTCTGCTCTGCTCTTACATAGGCTCTTCTTCCTAGGCCAGGGAGATGGAATTCTTGGATGGGCTAGACCAGGGTTACTGCCTGCTCCTGGAGCTGCGAGTATGTCATCCTTAAACCCAGACCATGTGGGCTGAGGGTGGAGGCAAGGGGTTGTTTTCTAGAGGAAACTTGAAGGTTTTGTTGTTAGAGGAATGGGAAATAACTCGTAAGCAGATAGAAGTAACACATTGCTATGTGTTGGAGCAGTGGAATAGTTGCAGAATCCTGGGCCCAGAAAGATTTGGGGGAATATGGGGTTGGAAGCAAAGATCCAAGAGGAAAGAGAGGAGGGAGGAGGAGGAGATGATGGTGATTATGATGATGATGATGATGATGATGATGCTTAACCTTTGTTGAACACACACCGTGTGCCAGGGACTAGCTGAGCACCTGCCTGATTTATCTCATTAATCCTCCCGAAACTTGATAATGTGAGAAGTAAAGGCCCCAGAGAGCAAAGCTATGAAGCTGGAGAGTAAGTGGCAGACAGAGCTGGGGTTCAAACGCAGGTTTGTCTGACTCCAGAACTTCTATGCAGCCACTCAGCTGTGCCGCTGTCCTGAACCTCAGTAGCTGCTGTCAGGGCTTGAGCAACCCACTCGAGGGTACATTACAGATACAAGAATGGAGTGGGTTAGGGCTGCTCAGAGTGTGTCATGAACTGGCATGTTGGTCCAGGGACAGTTCATTACCTGTCCATAGTGAGGTAAGTACAAAAATCGAGGGTAAGCGTTTAGAAACTTCTAAAGCAATTAGACATTTGCTATGACATCCAAGTGTGTGATCATTTTCCTTGCAATTCATTTTTTTTTGTAATGTATTTTGAATATAATTCACGTATCATACAATTTACTCATTTAGGTATGTATACAATTCAGTGGTTTTTAGTATATTCAGAGTTATGCAACCATCACTACAGGTAATCCTAGAAATTTTCATCACCACCAAAGGAAACCCCATACCCATTAGCAGTCACTCACCATTTCCCTCCAGCCCCTCTAAGTCCTAGGCAACCAGTAACCTTTGTGTCTCTATAGACTTGCCTGTTCTGGACATTTTATATAAATGGAACTATACAATATGTGGCCTTTTGTGACCGGCTTCTTTCACTTAACAGTGTTTTCAAGGTTCATCTACCTTGTAGCATGTACCAGTATTTTATTCCTTGTGTACGGATATACCACATTTAGATTACTCATTCGTCCATTGGTGGACATTTGGGTTGCTTCTACTTCTTGGCTATTACGAATAATGCTGCCATGAATATTCATATGCAAGTTTATGTATGAACATTTCATTTCTTTTGGGTTTATAGCTAGGACTAGACTGGCTGGATCATATGGCAATTCTGTGTTTAACATTTTGGAGACCTGCCAGACTGTTTTCCAGAGCAGCTGCCCCATTTCACATTCCCACCAGCAGTGTATGAAAGTTTCAGTTTCTCCACACCCTCATCAACACTTAAGTTCTCTTTTTTTAAAAAACACTTATAGCCATCCTAGTCAGTGTGAAGTGGTAGCTAATTATAGTTTTGATTTGCATGTCTCTGATGACTAATGATGTTGGCATCTTTCATGTGCTTATTGACCAATTGGCCATTTTTATATCTTTTTTGAAGAAATTCAGATCCTTTGCCCAGTTTGGTTTGGGTTGTTCATTTTTTATTTCTGAGTTGTAAGAGTCCTTTGCATATTGTAGATACAAGTCCCTTATCAGAGATATGAGTTGCAGATATTTTTTCCCACTCTGTGGGTTGTCTGTATTTTCTTGAGATATCCTTTGAAGGACAAAGTTTTAAATTCTGACGAAGTCCAGTTCATCTATGTTTTCTATGGTTGCTTGTGCTTTTGGTGTCACATTTAAGAAACGATGCAGTTCATTTTTATTGCATTTTACAAAAGTATCATTCCACAATAAATTTAGGGGGAAATTAGTTCTTTGCTAAGATAGTTTGAGAAGCACTGTAATAGATTTCTGTGGAGGTCTTGTTTGGATAAAGTTTGGATCCAGGATGGAGCGCTCTTCCCTGTACCCGTATTCCATTCACTGAATGCCTGACCTGCCTTGCCCAGCCCTTTGGCTTCAGTTTATCAGTGTGGATGTGCAGTAGACCTCTGGCTCCCGCTGGCTTCGGTTTGTGAGTGCAGATGTGCAGATGAAAGGAGCAGCAGTTTTATTGCTGTATCCATCTTAAATCTATAAAGAATGATTTGACACATTTCTGATAAATTAGAACATCTGTTCTTCTCCCCCCGCCAGGCTCCTCCTATTCCTTTGACTTCCTCCTAGGATATTATTGAAGCAAGTCTGTTGTTAGCGATGATTAAAAAAAAATCGTCCTAAACCAGGGTATTTTGTTTGTTACATGAAAATAAACAGCCAGCTGTCTGCTTGTTTTTATGAAAGGAAGGAAGCCATGTCATGACCAGGAGTGGTCTTTGCCCTTGCAGGTGTTGTTATTGATGGTAGGGAAGGGAGGGTATATTTCTGACACAGCATGACATGGTTTAGAGCATACCGAAGGACTAGGAGCCACGATCAGAGTCATGGGGTGTTAACAGGAGATCCCAAGAATGATTTAGTCCCAGCTTTGATAAGGAGTCCCAGCTTTGATGAGTTTGAGGCTTATTAAGACAGCTGGCATTTGCTGTCTTTTGTGGTCCCAATTTAGAAAGACTTTTGACCTTTTCCATGCCATTTCTCAACAGATTTCCAGGTGGTGAGAGAATAACAGGGAGCCTTTTAATGTGTCTCATAACATTCGTTCGAAATTCGAGGTTTAGCCTCCAGTAATGGAACTGGTGAATTATCTCTGGCTGTGTATGTCCTCACCTCTTCTCACCCCGACTGCTTTCTCATTTGTATGGGCATACTTTGATCTTTAAAAGCTTTCTCTTATTAATCTCCCCTATTTGCTATTTCACCTGAATGGGAATGAAACAGACCCAAGTTCAAAAGGAAAGGGTGAGTATAAGAATTCTTCCCTCTGGCAAAGGTAAATCTTGACTAACTTCAACTTATGGAGCCAAGAAAAAGGCAGACATATTCTTAAGGGATAGATAAAAGAACACCCAAAAGAATTGAAAACACACGTCCACACAAAAAGCAGTTTATGAATGATCACAGCAGCATTATGTATAATAGTCGGAAGTGTAAACAGCACAAAAGGATAAATATTGTGTGATTCCACTTATAAGAGGTCCCAGAGGAGTCAAGTTCATAGAGACAGAAAGTAGAAGGGTGGGTGCCAGAGGCTGGAGAAGGTAGGAGTGGGGAACTAATGTTTAATGGGTGTAGGCTTTCGTTTTGGGAAGATGAAAAAGTTCTAGAGATGATGATGGTGATGGTTGCACAACAGTGTGAAGGTAACTAATACCTCTGAACTGTATACACTTAAAAATGGTTAAAATGCTAAATTTTGCCACAATAAAAAAATCAGTAGTCTAAAAAAAGCCCACCTAGAAGGCTGTTTTATTGGGATAAAGGTTGTGATTTGGCAGTAAATCTCCTGAAGCTCTTGCACAGGCCTGTGTGTTCTGTGGAGCTTAAGTGCTTCCAGCTCTGCAGTTTCAGCCTGTGAAACTGGGGTGCCCACTTAATTTGTTCTGCTTGACCTATAAATTTGGAAGTGATATAAAAGTTTACCCCAAAACATACTGAATTCTGAATTTATTTCTTGCATTTAGCGAAACCTTTCATTTGTGTGGTTTTGTAGACCTCTTCTTCTCTCTTCTCATGATACTGCTTTTTCCTTGAGCTCTGCTCAAATTAGGAATTAACACTGATGCACTTCACCCCAGGCAGTAGTCTCCTATGGTCAGACTTGTGGTCACTCGACTTTTTTATTGTGTACTCTTTCAGTACACAAGTATTGCAAAAGTTAAGTATGCAATATACATAAATTACATACATGTCCTACTGAACTAATATATTATGCTCATTGAAAACAAAACTTTTGCTGGCCAGTTAGCTCACCTGGTTAGAATGTAGTATTGGTAACACTAAGGTCAAAGGTTTGGATCCCCATACCAGCCAGCTGCCAAAAAAAAGAGAGAGAAACTTTTTTTTTTAGAAATTAAATAAGATGAAAAATAGAGATTGATATCTTCTTCTTGCTTCTTAGTAGATTTTTGTCCATAAACCATTCTGGAGACCCCTGTCCATGTTATATCAGCTTCTTCTTTCTGTAGGGGCTGGAGAGATGCTGGCTGCCAGAATAGAGGGCAAATAAGCAGGTGCTTATTAAGGCAGCTACATATGATACTGTTTATTTGTTTTTATCCTATTTGGCTTGTGATTGATATTGTTATTTGACCAAAAAAAAAAAAAAAGGGAAAAAGTAAATAAAAGCCTAAGAGCCAGAGAGCCTGCTCAGAGGCAAGATTTTTTTTTTTTCCTTTTTGTCTTTTTTTGTGTCCGGCAACGGATCGCAACCCTCAGTGTCGCGCCTGTACCGGACCGGGACCGGCAACGGGATCGCAACCCTCAGTGTTGCACCCGCACCTCGCTCAACCACTGAGTGGGAACCGTTCTGTATGTGGGATCCGAACCCTCGGCGGGAGTGCCACCGCGTTCCCAAGCGGCGCACTGTAGCAGTGCGCCACCGGGCTGGCCCTCAGAGGCAAGATTTTTAAGTGTTGCTGCTCATCTCAGAGCTCTGTACTCAGGTGTATGCATGCACTTCTGTTTTTGAGGGTGTGGAGAGAATCACGGGACCGCATCGTGGGCTTTCCTGGCCGTTACCATGCATGGGATGTCCCTCATCAGTCCTGGCTCTACAACTCCAACTACTCCTGCGAACTGTCCATGGTGCTGACAGGTGCTGCCTTCTTTCACAAGGTAAGAAAAGGCTGCTAAGAGTGGCATCAGCTTAGTAAGAGTTGAGCCTTTGCACGGTAGTGAAATGCTGCCCTCAGGTTAGCTTTCCTAATGCTTCTGTGTCCCTTCCGTGCTAGAGGTAAGCTATTTCTGTTTTTTAAGACAATGATCAAGATGCTTTGAGCAACTCTGGAACAAAAAGGTTGGGAGGGCTGCCTGCACAATTGCATCAAAGCCATTAGGAAAACCTGTTTCTCTTTCTGGGCATCAGCTGTCTCTCTGTAAAACTGAGGGCATTGGCAGACAGACCTCTTAGATACCTTCCAGTTTCAGCATTGCCATCCTGCACATGGCCCAGCCAACACAAGGCTGACCCTGGCCTTTCTCTGACACAGACTGACCTTACTGTTCCGAGCCCCACCACGAGCCTCTGTCTATTGTGGCTCTGTTTGGTTCCTTAGAACTTGTTACTCTCACTGTGTCTCACATCCCAAATTTCACTGAATATCCAAAGTGCACCCCCTCTAGTCATTCCTTCTCTCTGGCACCGTCATCTCTATGTTCTACTTTTTGCTCTTGACCCATCTTTCCTCTGACCTCTTCTGTTGTGTAAAGTAGCCACTGGCCACATATGGTTATTGACTGGTCAGAACTGGGATGAGCTTTAAGTGTAAGAAATACACCAGATTTTGAAAATGCAGCATGAAAGAAAGAAGGTACAATATCTCAATAATTTTTTATAATGTGGTTTTTTTTTTTTTTTTTTGGTGGCTGGCTAATATGGGGATCAGAACCCTTGACCTGGTGTTATAACATTGCATTCAAACCAGCTGAGCTAACTGGCCAGACTTCAGTAATTTTTTGTATAGACTGCATGTTGAGAACAATTATTTTGGATATTCTGGGTTAAGTAAAATATATTAGTTAATGTGACTGTTTCTTTTTACTTTTAAAAAATGTGGCTACTAGAAAATTTAAAATGACATGTGTGGCTTGCGTTACATTTTTGTTGGGTGGTGCTCTGTACCTTCCGTCCTGAGGTCTTCCCCTGTGCTCTGAGATAACCAAGTCACCTCTGCCTCCTCCTTCACAGAACACCTCCTCTGGCTCCTTGACCCAATTGAAACCCGACTTTTCTCTGAGGCCAGTGCTTTTTCTTTGGCCCTTTCCCGTAGACTCTGAGGCTACTTATTTCCCCAGATTTGTACTTTGGAGCAGGGAAGGTGTAGGGAACATTTTCATTGCTTGCCAGTGACTCTTCTGGATGTTTACTTCTTAGCTGTCATGTAAAATCTGTCTCGTTGCTGCCGTCCACCAGCCTCCTAGTTGTTTCCTCACAGTCATCAAGGCTTTGCCTGGCTCCTCACCCTGTCTCCACTCCGTGCCCCCGTTGTTCCAGGTGCTCTCGTCCGCGTGGAAGACCACCCACCACTGTTCCCTATAAATGCCGACGAGCCCCAGAGTAGCCTCTGTTGCCCTTCTTACCTTGTGTTTTGCCTGGGCTTCCTCTGATGCTCCCAAGGCTTGTGGCTTTTCTTAGCACCTACAGGCTGATGATTTCCATGTCTATATTCTAGCCTCTCCTTTCGCTGAGATGTGTAATTTGTGTATTTAATTGTTTTCAGGGCATCTGTCTGTCCCTCAGGTACTTCAGACTGAACTTTTCCCCAGAAAGCTCACTGCCTCTCCCCCAACTCTTTCAAATCTTTTCTCCCTTATGTATTTCATTTCAGATGGTGGCATCTTACAAGTCACCTCAAATAAAACCGTAAAAGTCATCTTATTAGGGACATTTTTTTTTTTTTTTGTCTTTTTCCGTGTCCGGCAACGGATTGCAACCCTCAGTGTCGCCCCCGTACCGGACCAGGACCGGCAACGGGATCGCAGCCCTCGGTGTTGCCCCCGCGCCTCGCTCAGCCAGTGAGCGGGAACCGGTCTGTATGTGGGATCCAAACCCTCGGCGGGAGCACCGCCGTGCTTCCCAAGCGGCGCACTAGCACAGTGCGCCACCGGGCCGGCCCCATATTATTAGGGACATTTTGAAGCAGCCTAAGAAATCATTAAACTTTCAGTTTTCTTTTTCTTTTTAAAACTTAACGTGTGAAGCTGATATACTCATCCCATTCTTGAAATTAGCTCTCGTGCTTATTTTCCAAAATTGATTGGGCTGGAGGTTGCAAGTAGTGTGAGAGGGCTGGGGATCAGACAGCGGCTGGCTGAGAAACCACGTCTAACTAGGAGTCGTCTATTTTCACATTGGCTCATCTCAGCAGGAACTACTGATTTTAGCAGTGTCTACTTATGCTTGAGAGTTCCCTTGTCTTCCGAAAAGTCTGCCTTCTCAAACTCTCCGATTGTTCTTTCAAAAAGTTAATGGTCAGATCCCTTTACTTCCAAGAAATAAATAACTTAATAAAACTTAGTATTTTTTCTGTTTGAAAATCTACATCAGAGGTTATAGACTAGCAGCCTTGAGCCTCACTTGGCATACAGAAATGTTTGTTTGGTCCCCCAGTGTTGTCCTATACATTGCTAAGTTTTAAAAATTAGAAGATTTTACAAAAAGAGCTGGACCACAATAGTAAGGAAGGCTGGGTCCCGCGGGGCTGTGTTCCTGCCTGGCTCAGAGTGGCTATAGCTGCGCGGCCACTCTCCCTGCAGAGGGCATGCATGCGCCCACTTACTCTGAGACTCCCCACTTTTCTTACACCCATTTCTTTTGTGTTTGTTTTTGGCAGCTGGCTGGTGCAGGGATTGAACCCTGGACCTTGTTGTCAGCACCACGCTCTAACCAGCTGAGCTATTAACATAGCCAGCCCTCCTGTGCCCATTTTTTAAAATTCCACTTACTTGCCTTACTTGCTTGGACCTTGAAAGCAATTAAGTTGGTCATCTCTAATCTGTAGCACTCAAGTTTTTTGATAAGTGCCTGTCAGTAAAACTGTTTGAACATGTATCTAACGTATATATGTTTATTTATAAATTATGTGTGTGTGCATACCTTACTAAAAAATATTTTTAAAGTTTGAGATAAAGATGAAATTAAATTTCAAAATAATGTTCTCCCTAAATTCTTAAATTTTAGTGAAAGCAATATGATTGGATACTCTTTATTTTTGAAAATCTTGATTGAATCTTGTGTTATGGCAAGTCAGAGATCGGTTTCTAAATTAAGCATGTTTGATACTTGGTTCAAATTTCTGTCCTTGGAAGAAACACCTCGTCACTGTGCTGAGCTGTGACTCTCATGCTTTTCAGTCTCGTCCACCAATCTGGCAGCGTTTTATTGAAACCAGATCAACAATTTCAATCTTTTATGATGCTGTTCATGTATTTTAGCAAACCAATGGGAAGGTATTTTATGTTTTAGGGTAGGTTCTAAATCCATTGAAACTCTTCATTTAAAAGATTTTTTTAACAGTTTGGAAGGTTTTTCTATGTTTCTAAAATGTGCAGATATGCAAGTTTTTATAGGTTAACATAAATAATTTTTTCAACAAAACCACATAATGGTGAAAATACTTCTAAACATTTGTCTCACGATGCTTTCTCCATGTTTTTTTTTAAAAAGGCTGTTTTTTCTTACTGTTAAAATGTTACCATTTCCTCGAATAAATGGATTGTGTTTAGTTAATAAACATATTCTCATGAGCATACTAATGACAGCCACTGGTCATTTAAAGGGTTAACAAATTTGAATCAACTATTTGTAAAAAAAAAAAGAAAAAATGTAATTCATGTTTTAAGTTTACCAACTCCTATGTACTTTGCTATAAGATAACCAGCAAACTACTCTGTGCCAGAAAAAATGTTATGATCATTCTTTATTTCCCTGCACAGATTGTACTATTAGGGTAACAGAATATGTGAGTCAGTGTAACGGGGCGCCACACCTGTTCAATTGTTTGTCGCCAGCATACTGCCACACATCGTGGTTGACTTGTGCCTATTTTGTAGTATTTGCTGATTTCTGTGGTATGAATATTTTCACCTTGGCTGATTTTGAGTTATCACTACGAGTCACAGAACAACAGCAAAATGTTAATAGATTACAGTAAATATCGTAAGTTAATTAAGAAGTGTTAAGTTCTTAAGTTAATTAAGAAGTGGTAAGTTTTGGGTGTTTATTGTGTTGATTTTTAATATAGCTTATTTGATTTCAAGTTTATGTAATGACATTTTTAATAATGGTTATGTTTAATAACAGGCTCACAGAATTCCTGAAAATTTAGCAATCAGTGTTTGTTAGTAAGTTTAAGCTGGCTTTGGCACACTCTGTGGGTCTTGCAGGACATTTGAAGGACTTTGGTTTTTACTCCAAGTGAGATGGGAAGGCACTGGAGGGTTTGGAGTAAAGGAGTGATGTGATCATTTGGACTTGTTTTAACGTGATCACTCTGCTGTACTGAGTAGAGAATGCAGGGAGGAAGGTCTGGTAGGAGGGAGACTGTTAGGAGACGGCATGAAGAGGCCAGGCAAGAGATGATGGTGATTTGGAGCAGGGAATCACCTACGGCAATAAGCGGTCAGCCTCAAGGATCTGTGAGTGAGGCAGTGAGGGATTGGATGTTCCTGGTTCTGTGATTAACGGAGGTCTGAGAAGATAACAAGGCTTTTTTTCCTCAGTATCCCTACTGCCATTGTCAGAGATAGCATATTGCTCAACTGAACCAGTATCTGACCTATTTTGACAAATCTTTACATTGATTTCAAAATTGCTGAGGTACCAAGGTGATTACATGAAGTTCTGTTTGTGAAAGGGTGTGATCATGGCAATTTGAATGGGATAATTCTTCATTGCAGAAGATCTGCATTGCAGGATGTTTAACATCCCTGGCTCCAACTCCCTTTATGCCAGTAGTGCTTTCCAGTTATTGTTACATCCAAACTCTTCCCCCTTCCAAATAGCCCTTAGATCCATGAATATTTTTGCCAAAAGCCAAAGAACTGTGGCCTCTAACAGAGTATGTGATTCTTTTTCTTCTCCTGATAGTATTATGCCTACCTGTATTCTTATGTGATGCCCCAGGCCATCCGAGACATGGTGGATGAATACATCAACTGTGAGGACATTGCCATGAACTTCCTGGTCTCCCACATCACTCGGAAGCCCCCCATCAAGGTGAGGCCCCACCACCTAGAGGGCTGCTGGTGTGTGCATGCTTCATTCACTTGTCTTACAGTGGCACCATGTATGACTGTGCCGTACCTCATAGTCCTCATCTGTAAAATGGGGTAAGGACACCACCTACCCTGCAGGGCTGTTTGATGGTTAAAGGAGCTGTCAACAAAGGCGCTCATCCCTCCTAAGGTCAATGGATAGAATTCAGAGGGTTTGGAACTTGGGTGGGTAAGATGTTGGATCTTTATTTTTATTAATCTCTAACTGGAATTTAGTGTTTTTTTAAATTATGAAACAGACTACAATTCGTAACAGTATTTGCAGTAACTGGTTTATCACCAATAGAAATCACAGATATTTTCATGTCACATTACATTTGTTGCAGGGTCTTATTGTGTCTGTCACTGCTTTGAAATTATGGTAGTTACTAGCCTTCCCCTAGATTTTGTTATTTAATGCATTATTAAAAGAACACGTATGTTGGGCCAGCCCAGTGGCGCACTGCTATAGTGCGCTGCTTGGGAAGCGCGGTGGCGCTCCTGCCGAGGGTTCGGATCCCACATACAGACCGGCCGCTCACTGGCTGAGCGAGGGGCGGGAGCAACACCGAGGGTTGTGATCCCGTGGCCGGTCCCGGTCCGGTACGGGCGCGAGACTGAGGGGTGCAATCCGTTGCCGGGCACGAAAAAAAACAAAAAAGAAAAAAAAAAAAAAAAAGAACACGTATGTTGGGCCGGCCCAGTGGCGCACTGCTATAGTGCGCTGCTTGGGAAGCGCGGTGGCGCTCCTGCCGAGGGTTCGGATCCCACATACAGACCGGCCGCTCACTGGCTGAGCGAGGGGCGGGAGCAACACCGAGGGTTGTGATCCCGTGGCCGGTCCCGGTCCGGTACGGGCGCGAGACTGAGGGGTGCAATCCGTTGCCGGGCACGAAAAAAGACAAAAAGGAAAAAAAAAAAAAAAAAAAGAACACGTATGTTACTGTATTTTAGTGTAACTTGTTTCCTTTGCAATCTTGTGTATTTTATTTTATGTATTTAAAAACATTGTTCTGAGAAGGAGTTCACAAGCTTCACCGCATTGTCACATTGGTTGGGGTGGTGGTGCCTGTCACACAAAAAATTGAAGAATTCCTGAGTTAATCTGAGGGTACTTCAAAAAGTTCATGGAAAGATTTGTATTTTCTTTTCATTCTATTTTTCCATGAACTTTTTAAAGCACACCCACATACGTAAAACTTTAAAAATAGTGCCTGGCATATAAGTAAGGACTGTACAAGTTATTTGCTCAAAGACAAAAGTACTCTCAGAATTCTAGAAAGTTTTGTTCTGTTTTTGTCTTTGAGTTGCCGAATGGGTTTGGGCTAGAATAAACCAATTTCACTCTCAGTACACAGAAAACTCAGCTATATTACCTCTTCTGCCCTCATTGCAGGCTCAGGCAACCAGTTCAACCAGCTCAGTTAGGTTAGCGTTAGTCCTTAACAGAAGCAGATGTTATTAGGCCTGGTGTGGGCCTTGCCACAAATAATACTACAGAATCTGTCAGTTCAAGTGAATAATATTTATGACTGTGCTTTGTCCATGTCATGGATTTATACCTGATGTCCTTAGAAAAGTCAGCAAACTAATTAAGGTCTTATTTTCATTATTGTCAAAAAGGCATATTTCTTAATTTTATCAAATAATAAATTTACTTACTTGAGTATCATATTGCCCTAATTGTATGCATATTTTGTTCTTCTTACATTTTTTAAAGTAAGTTCTAGACTAAGTATCCACCAGCTTGTACTCATAGTGATAATCAAATCTCATCTTTAGTGGTCAGCAGAGTGGTAACCAAAGGACACTAGTTCTAGGAAACAAAGCATAAAGAGAGAGAGAAATGCACTTGGGGCCTGTGTGTTCATTTATACCCAATCAAACCTTTTCCAAGTATGGCCCATGGTTAGAACCTAACTCTTTAAAAAAAAAAAAAAAGATGTCTGGTAAGGGAATCTCAACCCCTGACTTGGTGTTGTCAGCACCACACTCTCCCAAGTGAGCCTAACTGGCCATCCCTATCCAGGGGTCCAAACCCGTGGCCTTGGTGTTATCAGCACCACACTCTCCCAAGTGAGCCACGGGCTGGCCCTAGAACCTAACTCCTGGTTACCCTATAGTTTCTTCTGTTGCTGAGACTTCTGCTAACGCCTCACAAAGGAAGAATAATTAGCAAAATAACACATCAAATTGTTTGATTTTTTAAAACTGTGAATAATAGTCATAACTATTTATATCAAAATAATGTGTTTTCCAGGTACAGTGGCAGATCTCTAATATTAAATCATGAAAAGCACCCTTCTTTGTAAACTTTAAAGAGGCAAAGTTCTTAGAAAGAAATTAATGATTGGTACAATTTTCTATTCTTTATTCCTTCTATGGGGCTGGAGACTAAATGTCTGCCTCTATTTATGCCTCCCTAGCAGATCAGAAGACATTGTCCATGGAAGTGGAACGTATCCGTGTGATTAGGTACCTGATAATAGCATCAGTCATCTGAGCACTCACAGACGTGATGAGTTTTTCATCTTCATTAAAACACGTTTGTCTACTATATTATTAGGCCAATGTTTCATTAGCTAAACCATCTCTTCAGTATAGAGACTTAGGTGGAAATAATTTGTACATGGTGTACATGATTCTCACTAAGCGAAAACTTCAAAAATAAGCATTGTATGTGAATTTTATCTTACTGGAAGATAAGGAGAGTTCAGTTCAGGATTGGGATTACTTTTTTAAATCAAAGGCTCAATAAAGAATGTTTTCAAATTCTAAGTTAATTTCTTCAAATTCTGAGTCTAATTACCTCATAGTAAAGAACCAGTTTGATAAATATTTTATTGATTTACTTAATAGTATTGGGTATGCGTGCAATTTTATGTTCAGAAATAGTGATTTTTTTTTGCTTTAAAAACCTCAAATTTTCACTAACTGTTCTCTTGTTGGAATTGGGAAGGTTTGACTGCTTCTGTAATTAGATGTGTTCTTTCAGTGATGGTAATATCTTTTTTTTTTTTTTCCTTTTTATCTTTTTTCGTGACCGGCAACGGATTGCAACCCTCAGTGTCACGCCCGTACCGGACCAGGACCGGCAACGGGATCGCAACCCTCGGTGTTGCGCCCGCACCTCGCTCAGCCAGTGAGCGGCCGGTCTGTATGTGGGATCCGAACCCTTGGCGGGAGCGCTGCCACACTCCCAAGCGGCGCACTGTAGCAGTGCGCCACTGGGCTGGCCCTGTGATGGTAATATCTTAACAATATCGACTAAAGAACAGGGATTTAATGTCATTTTATTGCTTTGAATAATGCACTATTTTTACAAGAGGAAAAAGACGTAGCATGTAAATAGGCTTCATTTAGAATAAAGGGTTAAAAACTCACCTAGCGTTGAGAAGACAGCTGGCTTAGGTAATAGAGAAGCCGAGACAGAAACTTAAGTAAACGTCTTAGTTCTCTGTGGTAACACAGGATCTCAGCATCTATTAAGGGTTTCTTTATCGTTAACTCAGCATAACATTAGTATTTCTGTTAGATTAAGTTATCCAGAATGTTCCCGTGTAAAATATAATCCACAGTATTCGTTAAGTAAATGTTTAAACTTCAGTTTATATTGTAGTTGTTACTTGATTCTTTTTAATTTTTTTGGTATGTTTTATTATATAATACAGAATATATTGGAGATGCAGTCTCAGAATTTTTTTACTGATGGGTTATGTGATTAAAAACATTTGGAAACCATTGCTTCAGTGAAAACAATAGTTACAACTTTTTATGACAAATGGAGTAATTTGCAGGTTAAGGGGCTTTTCTCCTGAGGTTGTATTCTGCCATCTGCTGTGAGAAGGAGGGTTTTTAGGAACATTGAGAACACAGTGGAATACTGGACAGAGACACCTGATAGACTCCTCTCTAGATTCCTGACACCCACCTCCTGCTTCTGTAAGAACAGGTGGGAAGGGCAGTAGTAACTCACTGTTGACTGTGAACCTGAGGGGAGCTGCCAGGAGTGAGAGGGAGAAGTGAGGAGACTGGGAGGACCCTGTGAGGGACCTGTGGAAGTCACGACCCCCACAGTCCCCGTTCTGAGGTGAGCCGCCCTTGGAGCGGTGGCCTGCACTTCCTCTCAGTTGCGCTCTGGAGGCCTGGGCTCTGATGGCTGGTGTTGGCTACATGCTGTGACTACTGTTCAACTGTAAATTATAGCATGGGCCTTTTAATTAAACTTTTTTCTTAGTATATAATAGTAGTAACAATCATTTAAAAATTATTTGGGAAAAGACAGACATTTGGAAAGAGATAAAAGTTATCCAAACCTTCTGGCCGCGTTGTTTTGGTTCTCTGTTTCCCTGTCTGCGGTGGTGACTTTTTTTTTTTTTTTTTTTTTTTTTTTTTTTTTTTTTTTTTTTT